GTGGGAGGTGTGAGGGTTGGAGGGTCATTGGGCCTTCACCCGAGGTTGCTGCTCTTTGTGCCCAGCTTAGCTGTATGTAACCTGCACCAGCTATATGTGGTCTCAGGAGATACTGAAGGATGGGTGGAAGGGCGAGTGAAGAAAGTAGCAGGAGTTGGAGCATGAGGTTCTACTACATAGCTATAGGGAAGCAGTCATGTATTATGGAATGGGCTTTTTGGTGATACAGCTGTTTGGGGTTATCAATATTCTATACTACGAGTAACCCTTCACTCATGCTCCAGAAAACCAGCTAAGTAAACTTGTTAGTTCACCAAACTGACTTGGATGGGATCATCATTGTGGTGTGTTGTTGGTGCCCTGAGTGAAGAGACATGTGTGTCTCCCCAGGAAAATTCAATGCAACAAATGCCTTAGAGTAGTCTATTCTCAACACTGAGATGAACAATAAATGGGACCTCCTGAAACTGAGAAGCTTCTGTAAGGCAAAGGACACAGTCAACAAGACAAAACGACAGCCCACAGAATGGGAAAAGATCCTCACCAACTCCACATCTGCAAATAACTCAAGTAACTAATCACCAAAACACCAAATAATCCAATTAAAAAATGAGGTACAGACCTAAGCAGAGAATTCTCAACAGAGGAATCTCAAATGGTTGAAATACACTTGAGGAATTGCTCAACATCCTTAGTCATCAGAGAAATACAAATCAAAACAACTCTGAGATACCATCTTACACCTGTCAGAATGGCTAAGATCAGAAACACCAATGACAGCTTATGCTGGAGAGGATGTGGAGTAAAGGGAACACTCTTCCACTGCTGTTGGAAATCAATATGGCAGTTTCTCAGAAAACTGGCAATCAATTTACCTCAAGACCCAGCTATACCACTCTTGGACATATACCCAAAAGAAGCACATTCCTACAACAAGAACATCTGTCCAACTATGTTCGTAGCAGCTGGAACCTGGAAGCAACCTATATGTGGTACATTTACACAATGGAGTATTACTCAGCTGTAAAAACAATGACATCATAAAAATTGCAGGCAAATGGATGAACTATAAGAAAATCATCCTGAGTGAGGTAACCGAGACCCAGAATGACAAATATGGTATGTACTCATAAGTGGATATCAGAAGTAAAGCATAAGATAACCAACCTACAAACCACAGCCCCAGAGAGGACAGCATAAAGAGGGATGCATGGATTTCCCCTGGGATGGGAAATAGAAGAGATCTCCTGGGTAAACTGGGGGTAGAGGTGGGGATGGGGGGATAGAGGATGTAACTTGAGGAAGTGGGTTGGGCGGACTGGGTGCAGGAGGAGGATTGGGGGCAGGGACGAGGGGGAGAATAACAAAAGAGAAGTCTTAATGTGGGTGCATTTCAAGGTCAGGGAGTAAGTGGTGCCAGGGAAACACCCAGGACCCCACAAGGATGACCACAGATGAGTCACCTAGCAATAGTGGATGTGTAGCCTGAACTGGCCATCTACTGTAATCAGATTGGTGACTACCCTAATTGTCATGAGAGAGCTTTTATCCAGTAACTGATGGAAGCAGATGCAGAGATCCTCAGCCAAGCACTGGGCCATGTCCTGGGTGTCCTGCTGAAGAATGGGAGGAGGCATTGTATGAGCCAGGGGGTCAAGGTTGTGATGGGGGAACCCACACAGACAGTTGACCTGAGCTCGTGGGAGCTCATGGACTCTAGACCAAAGTTAGTGACCTGCATGGGACTGACCTAGGGCCTCTGCATGTATGGGACAGTTGTGTAGCTTGGTCTCTTTGTAAGCAGTGAGATCAGAACCTGTCCACAGTGCTTGAGCTGGCTTTTGGAAACCTGTGCTCCATGCTGTGTCACCTTGTCCAGCCTTTAGACAGAGGTAGGAGCTTGTCCCTATTCTCAACTTGCTGTGCCATGGAAGGCCTGTCCCTTTCTGAATGGAGGAGGAGGAAGAGTGGATGGGAAGGGGAGCAGATGGGAGGTGGGGAGGAGATGGGGGAGAGGAGGGAGGGGAAACTGTGGTTGGTATATAAAATAAAAGAAAAAATGTTAATTAAAAAAGAAAAGTCTGTTCTGTCAAGAATTCCCAGCCTTGCAGCCATCTTGGTGGCAGCAGCTCTCCCTCTTAGATTTCCCAAGTACTGTTTTCATCTGTTACCGATGGTCAGGGTGTGGGCTGGGAACTTCCAGGCTCTTGACTTCTCACTCAGAAACTGAAATGAAGGCTCACACCCGCAAAAGTAATGAGGAAAGTTTATTCAAATGGAAGTGACAGGGCAGGTGTGCTGTCAGGAGTGAAGTTATTCCTCATGGTTTTCGGCTTACTTTTACAAGGCTGTAGGGTAATTCATCAGCACAGGCACAGTGATATCACTTAGGCGGTCTTGTTAATGATCATGACACATAGGCAATGTCTGCATCCATCTTGGGCAGAAGGATGGCATAGGGATATTTTCTGGTTCTTATCAAACAATTGTCAATTAACAAGATCTTTATTGAGATGGGGCCCTCGGTAGGTTTCATTTTGTTGGTTTATCTATGGAGCTGTATCACCATAACCTAACCCCAGAACATTTTCATCATCCCTAACCAGACCCCTTTCCCATGCTTGTCACACCCTCCAGCTGGCTTCAGGCAAGCATAGATCTATCTTTTTTCTTTATCTTTTCTGGACTTTATATGTCAGTGGAATCATGTGCTGTTTGTGGTCTGGCTTCTTTCACTTAGAACAATGTTTTCAAGGCTTGTGCATTCAATTATATGTACCAACACTTCTTTATCTTATCAACTAGCATTCTATTATAGGGATAAAATGCATTTTATTTACACTTCCATTCCTTGGTAGATATTGTTTCTAAATACCATCACTAAGAACATTTACGCATAATTGTGTGTGTGTGTGTGTGTGTGTGTGTGTGTGTGTGTGTGTGTGTGTGTGTGTGTGTGTGTGTGTGTGTGTGTGTGTGTATGTGTATGTGTGTGTGTGTGTGTGTGTGTGTAGACATGTTGTATTCTAAGCTATAAGCCCCTTGATGATTATCATTGCTGGGCCACATGCTAACTCCGTGCTTTGTCTTCTGGGATACGGTTATGCTATCCAGAATGGCTGGTTCATTTTGCTTTTCTTATGTGTCAGTTTTCTCATCTCCACACTCTCACATTTTATTGTTGCTCTTCTTAATTATAGACATCTTAGTAGATGAGTGTGGTATATCATTCTATACTTAAGCACTGTTGAGTGTGTGCATTTTAGTGAGAGACTGTAATACTAAATGTAGCATTCCATGTTCATATTTTAATTTAAAATTATTAACACAATCATCATCATTATTATTATTGGATGTATATGACAGAGATGCATGTACCAAAGCTCATGTGTGGAGTTTGTTTCTCTGTCTTCTTTATCCAGGTTCCAAGAGCCAACTCTGGTTATCAGGCTTGCATGACAAGGGCTTTATCCTTCTGGATCATGTTTCCAGCCCCTGTATCTGAATTCTTAATGTTTTCTTTAGTGAAGTGGTAAGGAGCAAAATGACTGAAAAGTGTCTTATGTAGTTAGTGAACTTCTGTGGCTAAGCTTTAAAACTTCTGCCTTGGCTACCACAGTGAAACCTAACTGCTTCTAGGTTGTTTCCCAGAGTCATGTCTATTTTCAAGTGTAGGACACAGAGATGAACTCCGCATGTCTTGGTATTTTTGTTCAAAGAACTTGGTTTCTGTGGGGGAAGAGCTCAACCACTGCAGTCCTCCTAGCAGGACTGAAAGAGCGCCCACATCTGGATCGCAGAATGTGCGAGGGCCCCACAGTCTTTGCTCTGAAAGCACGAAGCAGGAAAGAGAACATGCCAGGAGAAGGCTCCCGGGTCACAGTGGCAGGCAGGGGCCCAGCACAGTGGCCTCCCCTGGAGACAGAGCACAGCACCTGCATTTAAAAATGAAATCTTTTCTTTAAATGAAAGTTATTTACAGGGGGTAAAACAAGATCTAACATTTGCATAAGTTATTTTCCGTTATGGCTCAAACATTGCACTTGAGATCAAGAAAATGTAAACTAGCCTTGCAGACAAATTACAAAAAGAGACACATCCCTGGCCATGTCCAACATTGCTCTATCAGTGGGGCTTGGACTCACTGACTGGAAAATAAGTCCTGCTCCTGTTGACTGGGTATAATGCATTTCCTATAGGATTCTGATACGATCTTTAATCCAAAATAAGACAGAGAGGACAAGGCTGTGTCTCGGGAGAACACTGGCGTGCCTGCCAAGGACCCATGCTCATTCTCAGCACCAGCAAACAAGTACACATACCCAACAGGACAACGGCTGTAAGCTGGTTCACCAAGTCATCAGTGCATGTCGCAGGGCCAGGGAGTTGTCCAGTTACTTCTGGAGGACACTGCTGAGAAGTGGCATGGCACAGCCATGTGAGGGCCAGGAGAGGCAATCTACTGTCTTGTCTTTACAACCAAAGAGAAAGTGGGCTACTGATGGCTGCTTGTGTCAATAGACCATTATGAAGATCTGTTCCCTTTATCTTTCAGAAATTAGACCCCTGAAATGAACTGGAGATTTTGAGTGTTTTAGGTTAGGAATAGGTAAGTACCTGAAACTCAGGATTCATGAACAGTGTCCAGTGTCTTGAGATAACATTGTTCCCGTAGCATTTGTCTGTACACAGTAGCCACAGGTGATTTCTTAAGGGGTTTTCTAGCTCTGGGACTTGGGAGCATTTTTATCTTTTATTTTTTGCAAAGTATTAGAGACAACTGAAAATTTTTATTTAATGGTTTAGTAGTGACTAATACTAATAGTTTTCTTGCCAAAGTAAGCTGTGCTTTGTTAGATATAAGAAGTATGACCCAGAAGGCAGGTAATTTTATTTAGCTTGCACAAATGATTGCTCGCTTAAGCCATTGGTTTGTACAAATGGCTCTTGGATACATCCCATACTAAATTGTAATCACAAAATGATCTTTATTTTCTTAGGGCTTGGCCTTACTTTCCAGACACAGGAAGCTGAGGGAAGTTTCTCTGTCTGAGTGTACCAACATCACTGACATGGGAATTCGGGTAAGATGATTAGGGTTTTCCAAGAGTTAAGATTAAAAATTAAGCTCAAATTGAATAAACTTTGTAAGTCACAATAGAAAGAACTAATAGAAGACAACTCACAATACATGTGAGTCTGAAACTCAGTCACAGAGTCAACGATGGGTGTCATCATTTGAAGCTCCTGTTTGAACACTCAGTCCTTGGCTTGTAGGCCTGGAGACTTAGGAAATGTGACCTGGCTGGTGGAGTAGACCACGCCACCAGCTCTCAGCTTACCTGCCTCTGGGTCTGGCCTGTGTCTATTCCATGTAGGAGTCTCTGCCACACACTGTGGCAACAGTGAATGCTGCCATACTTCCCCACCACAGTGGACTGAGGTTTCTCCAAAACCATGAGCCAGTGCCCACCCTCCTTTTTAACCTGCTTCTGTCAGGTGGCTTTGGTCACTGCAACACAAAGGTAACTAATGCACTTCATTGGGCCAGCTCTCTAGGGCCTTGGGTACCGAAGGAGCTTTGTGTCCTCGTGTTTTCTCCATCTATTGGCTCTCAACTTTGTGTCAGGCTCATAGAATAAGTAGGGGCCCAAAGTCTTTGCATATAGAGAAAATAGTCTATAAAATGGAAAACTAAACTATTATATAATCTAACCATGAAAACTGGGGGAGTTTAGAGACTACACCAGATTTTTAGCGGTTTGGAGTTTAAGTTATCCAAACACAGTTTGTAGTGTACATCAGCGGAACAGAGAGGATGAGCTAAGTAAGTGAGATGAGTTATCATGTGCTCAACTGATACTTGAGGAATTCTTGAGAAGGGTAAGGGTCCATAGCCAGGGCCCAAGTACCATGCAGGAAGCCATAAAGTGCAAGTAAGCCACAATGGAATGTTTTTTTTAGCACCGAGAGAGAGAGAGAGAGAGAGAGAGAGAGAGAGAGAGAGAGAGAGAGAGAGAGAGAGAGAGAATTTATGTGTGTTTGTATGTGTGTGTGTTTTGTGCTTAGCATTAAGCTAGTGGTCCTCAGCCTTCCTAATGCTGCGACCCAACAAGAAAAACTGAAAATTAAGCATGTGGAAACTGTTTAGGCATTGGAAGCATCCCATAAAAGCATGTTGAAAGATAAAAGCCTCCACTACTTAGGAAAACATTAGACTAAATAGGAAGAAAGGAATCATCGAAGGGAAAGAATAAGATACTTTTTACAGGGGTTAAAGGGTTAATCCCACAAGTACTTGGATCATGCAGCTCTACCTGAGAAGTCCACAGAAAATAGAGATGCTTGGGGCACGGCAAATTGGAGGATGACTTACTACGAAGCTTCAAATGAGTAATTGAGCAGCATTGGAATAATGCACAAACTGGATCGCTGTGGAGGCCACCAGGTCAGCTCATGCTTACACCTTAGCAGAGACTTACAGATATTTGGGGCTGAAGGAAACTTGCAACATATAAACCAATTTTCTGATTTTACATATAAGAAGCTAAGGGCTGAGAGGTTATAATAGTCAAGGTTTCACACCTCCTTTGGAAAGCAGCTTTAGCTCCAGTTTTATGGAAATGAAGGGTTGGTAACATGGCTTAGTGCCCACCGTGTCATTTAGCTTTGCTTTCTTTTATCCCATTGGGTCTGAACAGTGCAGTAATATAAGAGAAAGTGTATCACTGCTGAGAATATTGAGAAGCTGTGGTGTGCAGCAAAGTCCACTCCTCCTCATTTTAGTCTATGGCACCAACTCTGCCTACTGTAGAGAGTTATTCCGAAAACAAAATACTGCTTCAAGACAAATAGCCCAAAAGAATTGAAAACTTTCATATGGGACAAAATCATTTCTATAATAAATAGAATTACAGATGCTTATATGGTGCGTGTGACCTGCTATGAAAAGAACCAAAGATTTGTGTAAGTGTAAATTGTGGGGTACTTATAAGGTCAAACATGCATTTACACAAAGCCTTATACATTAGCATACAGTCAGGCTTTCAAAACTTGGAAAAAGTGACAGATCAGAGATTTAAAAACAAAACAGTTAATCATGATTGCAAATGAATGTGCCACTAAGATAACTTAGTATTAATGTGACATTTTATCATTAGGAATGGCTAACATTGTTCTTGACAAGTCTTGCTCCTAAATCAGTCCACACACACACACACACACACACACACACACACACACACACACCTCTGTTAATAATTTTTGTATGTATTTGAGATACAGTATCATATTTTAAAAATGTTTATACAGTGTGAACACATCTACTTAACCACCTCCCAATCACTCATTTAGCCATTCATCCATGGGCCAGGAGTAAGATTCATGTCGTGAAGTGAATTCATGTTGTGAAGAGCCCAAACAAAGGACATTTTGGCTGAAATGCCAGGAGTACTCTAGCTGAGAAGCCAGACTCTGTGCCATGACTCTAGTTTGCTTGGGAGAAAAACCGTTTGTTTGAACTAGTAGTAGTAGTAGTAGTAGTAGTTCAGTTGTAGATAATTGTAGCTGTTAAAATAAGTGTTTATTGAGTGCATGAAGGCCCCAAATAAAAGTTAAAAATGTTGACATTTCTAATATTGAAATTACATTCCTCAGTGCTGTGATGTCAGCCTCTAAATAGCCATCCCTTAAAAAACGCTTCTCTGGCCAGGTGTTGGTGGCACACACCTTTAATCCCAGCACTCGGGAGGCAGAGGCAGGCAGATCTCTGTGAGTTCAAGGCCGGCCTGGTCTACAGAGAGAGTGCCAGGATAGGCTCCAAAGCTACACAGAGAAACCCTGTCTGGAAAAACAAGAAACAAAAAACACAAAACAAAAAAAACAAAAAAAAAAAAAACAAACAAAAAAAAAACCACTTCTCTGGACGAGACCGAAACTGAGAGTTAGGGAAGCACCATACTTGGCTGTTTGTTTTTGATCCCGTGGGCTCCAGGAATCTCTCTCCACGCTTCTACAGTGCCCAAGTTTACTCCACTTTCAGATGCGAAAATGTGTGCTCACACGCTAGTTATATGATCACGCAGTAAATGCTAGCATGCCTTTTTAAAAAGTTTAAGCTTTCAGAACTGCTCTTTATTTTCTACAATCTAAAGATACCTTTTTAAAGAAGCATGGGACACAGACTTATTCCATTATTAGTTGCACAAGATCAGATGTTCTATTTAGGAAAAATGTTTCTTTCTCATTGTCTCTCCTGCATTTTCCCCCTCCAACCTATGTCTGGGGTGTGTGTGAATGTGCCTGTGCCTGTGTATGTGCGTGTGCGTGTGTGTGTGGGGGGGTGGGGTGTGAGTGTGTGTGGGTGTATGAGTGAGTGTGTGAGTGTGTGTGTGTGTGTGTGTGTGTGTGAATGTGTGTGTGTGTGTGCACCTGTGCTGGCTTTTCAACAGTCCAAGCATCCACCTTGTTCAACAACTGTCCTCTTCCCCCAGACTGGCCTCTGGCCTCTGGCCAGTCTGTTGCAGACATGTCTGTTTGGAGTTTAAGAAAGGTTTATTCATGGACCCTAACAGCAAAGTTTCATCACTCTCCCATGACTCTTTCCTCATCTAAAATACTTTGATTCACTAACTTTTTAACTAGTTCTAAAATATTGTTTATGCAAGATTTTCATCAATAATTTTTATCCATTGATAGCTCTACCCTCCACTGCTAAGCCAAAATTGATCTCAGTAGCCTCTGACTTACAATGTCAAAGATGGGTAGATGAGTCAGCTCCCTAGCAACTATTAAAAAAACCAACAGTGATTTCCATTTAGTTTCCAGGGTTAAGTCATGCAAAAATTATCAAAGTATGAGATGTTGATAACTACACCTAGTCTCCAGGGATAAAGTTGTGTTCATGGGTTGAAAGGGAATCAATCAAGACTCCTAGCCAAACTGGCCTCCTCCTTAGCCTGTGGTGCAGCAGAGACTCTGGGGAAGGAAGACAGGCAGATGTTAGGCTTTCTTTCTTTCTTTCTTTCCTTCCTTCCTTCCTTCCTTTCTTTCTTTCTCTCTTTCCTCCTCCTCCTCCTCCTCCCTCCTTCTTTTGGTTTTTCAAGACAGGGTTTCTCTGTGTATCCTTGGCTGTTCAGGAACTCACTCTGTAGACCAGGCTGGCCTCAAACTCATAGAGACAGGCCTGTCTCTGCCACCCAAGTGCTGGGATTAAAGGCGTGTGCCACTACTACCCAGCTACACATTGGGCTCTTTTAGCACCTGGCTGTAGCACCCAGAAAAGCCTTTGCTGTCGTCTTTCACTCCAGATTAGGTTTGGGAAGTACTGATTAAACGGTCTGTTATGGAACTCCCAGAGGACTCAGACTTTGATTTTGTTTTTAAAGTATCTGAGAAGAGGAACTAATTTAAAGGGGTGATCATCTGGAACTTGTTGAAAAGGCAAAAGCCACAAAACTGGAACAATGAAGAGCTTCGTTTTACAAATCACTGCTGCATTGATCATCCAGTCTCCAGAGCCTTACAATAAAGCAGCGAATGCCTGGAGACTCAGTGGGGGAGGGGGGGCGACACAGATATCAGGTCATTACTGTTTCTTCTATGGCTGGGAGCAAAGCAAGAAGCTCAGCACTCGGCTGCTCTTTGAGCTAATGTGTTTCCAATTGTAAACAGTCCGACAGGATTTGAAACTTGCCAGACTTCAAAGGATGTGGGATTCAACAGCTTCTCAGAGTCCCACAGCTTAGAAGCTTCCAAGAGATTCTGGAGTGCTGGGTACCATGTTTTCTTGGCAAAGAGTCAGGTGAAGCTGAGTAAACGTTCTCCCCACCCCCTCACCCCCCAGTGCTGGCTTTCCTCCTGCCCATTGCCACTGTGAGAATTAGTGGACAGCTGAAGTTTTACTGCACTTCCTAACTGACCCAAACATCTGTTGTTTTCATGTCTAGTTTCCACAGAGACCAACTATAGGAGAAGAGTTAAAATTAAAAGCAAGATAATCCTTAGGAGGCATTCCCTGCCTCTAAGTTCCCCTAGAGTATTAGTTATCACATGTGAGATGAAACTTGCCTACAGTTAAACAAAA